ATGGACACTCACTATCTATTCCACCTCCTTTTGGTGGGCCTTCTTGTACTGCAGAAGCTAAAGAGTTAGAAACTACATTTCCCAGACTCCTTTGCAGCTAAGGTTTGAGCACTATAGGGAGATTTGAATTCCACCCTGAGTTAGTTGCACAGCGGCACACAGGAGGCAGTTCTCTTACACTCTGCAATAGCAGAAGCATCATCATGCAGGAGCAGACAGCCACAGTTTCCTAGGTGGCCCAGTTCTGCAGTGTGGCTCTGAGAGTCATTTCTAAGAGCTCAACTTGGCCTTTCTTTAGTCCATTCGGTACCTTTCTCTACTTAAACTAGCTACAGTGGATTCTGCTGTCTGCAGTTAAACCCATATAGTCCTTCCGAAAAATAAAAATTCACTTTGCCTACATTCAAGTTTAAAACTTGTACAATTAACACGTATTGTTCTCTTATTTCTCTTTTTCCCCTTTTTAATTAATTTAACCTTTACCAAGCATCCATTCCAAGCATTTTTCCAGATTTCCCTTTTCCTCTTGCTTCCTACATTCTCCTCCAAATGCTGTCGCTCATGTCTAGGGACTGTTGATTTCTTCCCCTCCTTATATTCTTGTTCTATGTTGACTTATGTCCTGTGAGTTAGGTGTTACTGCACTGGGGTGCTGGGGAATACAAGCCCAATAGGAAGCATTATCTGGCTCTGGTGGATCTAGAGTTGAAAAGAGAAGTCTGGTTGGCCAAATGTGCAGGCAGGAAGATGGTCAGCAAGTTACAAGGGGTTAGGGGGAGGGGCATTCAGTTCTGTCTTCAGAGATAGAAGATAAGAGGGAAGGAGTTTGGGTGGAGCTTATGTTCCCCTTCCAAATATGAAACAGACAGGTCTTTAAAAACCACTTAAATCCATGATTCCCAGCAATACTTAGAAATAACTAATTGGCCATCGCTGGAGAATTCAGGTCAACCAACTATCTTCATTTATAAATAAAGGTAAATAAAGGGAATCAAACACTATTCTCCCTTTCCTAAACGAATCGTCCCACTGGGAAACCACACAGTAGATGAGGGGAAATATCTCTCTACGGAAATACATCAGCTAATATGAAATATCACTGTTTTTAAAATTTTTTTTTTTGTAGAAATGAGGTCTCCCTAAATTGCCCAGGCTAGTCTCAAACTCTTGCCCTCAAGCAATCCTCCCACCTCCGCCTCCCAAAGTGTTGGGATTACAGCCTGGGCCACCATACTCAGCTTATTGCTGTTGTAGAACACCAATAACCCAAAATATTTAGGCCCTGAGCATCAATAGCTGCTAACATCACAAAAAGAGAGATTACCAGGCCAGCGTCGTGGCTCCCGCCTGTAATCCTAGCACTTTGGGAGGCCAAGGCGGGAGAACAGCTTGAGTTCAGGAGTTTGAGACCAGCTTGAGCAAAAGTGAGACCCCTGCCTCTACAAAAAATAGAGAAATTAGCCAGGCTTGGTGGCATATGGCTGTAGTTTCAGCTACTTGGGAGGCTAAGGCAGGAGGATCACTTGAGCCCAGGAGTTTCTAGGTTGCAGTGAGCTATAAGATGCCACTGCACTCTGTCCCAGACAACAGAGCAAGACTCTGTCTCCAAATGAAAAAAAAAAGAGAGAGAGAAAGAGATAACCAAATATTAAGTGTCTCTTGATAGAACAGACACCTCCATTGTGACATATTCTAACCAAAATAAAATAAATCTGATCAAGCATATAGAGCTGTGTTGTCCAATAGAACTTTCTGCGGTAATAGAAAAAATAAAATTCCATTCTGTACTGTTTAATACAGTAGCCACTAGTTGCACATGGCTACTGAGCACTTGAAATGTGGCTAGTGCAACTGAGGAACTTAATTTTTAGTCTTACTTAATTTGAAAAGCAGCTCAGCTATAGATCCAACTACCCATTCAGAGAAAACCTAGGGGACTGAGGAATGTCAAACACTGTGGTGATGCATTCAGTAAAATCCAGACTGTTGGGAATTCTACAAAACAAATTCTCCAGAGACATACTGCTCTGCCTTTGATTTCCTAAGTTTCTCTATCCCGCAGCTAGAGACCTGCAAATGGGTCACAGCACAAAAGGACTCAAAGGGACCTGACACCCTTTCCTGAAGGTACATCATCTCCCCACCCCAAGCTGTGTGGTAAATTACAGAATCCTCAGTAGTAAAGAAACACTTTCACAGCCCACCCTGAGGCACAGTCAAAAGACAGTTAGGCTGGGAAGGGCCACTGCTTCCTAACCTGCTTCCTAACCTGCACCTGGGATTCCTTTCCAGTTCCACTTAACACAATCAGGTTGTCGAATCCCATATCCCTGCTGCAGGCAAGAAAACGTTAGATGTTAAAACTTGCTATATGTTGCTGTTGGCTAACCTCCCATTAGGCCCTGTTTCCTGCCCTTCAGCCACCAGACCTGAGTCCTTTCCAGCTCCAGCTGTGGAGCTCAACCCATGCCTCCCTCAGGCCTGCCCCTTTTCCTTCTCCACTACCTTCAAACCCACATCAAGAAACCTTCCCCATTCAGAATTGATCACACTTTTCCTTGTGCTTCTGGCTTACCATTCACTTTCCTGCAACAGTTAATAATATTGTGTCTCCCCCCAACCCAAATAATATCTACAATCAGCGGGCACATACCACGTTCCACTCTTAACTCATTCGTCCTCACAGCTCTAGGAGGTCGGTACCATTATTGCCCCCATTTTACAGATAAGGAAAGTGAGGCCCAGAGGGATGAACAACTTGCTCGAGGTCACACAACTAAGAAGAGAAAAAGCCAGAGCTTAGATGCTTAACTGCTATTGCCAGACAATTCTGCAAGGAACACCAGAGTGGGAGCATTTTTAGCTCCCAGCTGCCTTGTATATGGCAGGCACTCCATAATGCTGATGCGATGAGTGCTGCCTGTCTGTGCCCGGCATTTGCTCAAACCTGCTCTTCCTGGGAGCCCACTGCCCAGCGTCTTCAACTTACTAAAACTAAGTCATTAAAACAATGCACTATGTATGGGCCTCATTCTTGAGTTGCTTTCCTCCTCTTCCGTTAAAACACTAATTCTTAGAGAAACTCTGTGGGTTCAACATTCCTTGCAAAGAACTTGGGAGTTAACACAACGTGCTAAGTCACAGGCAATTTGGTCAGTCATTTGAAAACTGCCAATACTGAGGCTGATAATTCTGGAGGTTTGAAGCACGTTAACACCAAGATGTCTTTCTTTGGGTAGAGGCAGAGAGAAGGAATCTGAACATCTTCAGTAAATAAAAACTCCCCTGCTAACTATGGAGAGAGGGCTCCTTGTTAACGGTTTGGGAGCAAACTGTGCCACGCCCCCCCGACCCCCGACCC